CTTGGGAGTAAGAGGAGGCCATGATTTTCTTCTGTAAAGAACATGACAAGTGATGTGCCTGTCGGGGTGGACCAGGGAGGGACAGAAGGACAAGCAAGAAAAGGGGTGAAAGTGGACAGAGGATTTTTCAGACGAGGGATGTGGGAGCAGAGTCCAGTACGTCATTTTATCCCACATCACCCTCCTCCACCCAGAGGCTTTCAGCATAGCTGCAGATGCCCTTTTGGTAAACCAAGTGAAGAGGCAGAAAGGGATGGTAGAGAGGGCAGGATTTGAAACCAGAGTAAAGCTCCCCAGCCTCTCGTGACGACCCCGAGGAGGAGGGCATCGTCAGAGACAAGGGAGAGCCCATGATGGAGGTGTTTTTGACTGTGTGCTGCTGGGCTAGGTATTGTGGGAAGGACCCCTACACTCTCTAAAAGATCCTCATAACCCTAGAAGGCCTTTAATTCTCTTCATTCCCAGGCAAGATCCTGACAGATGACTTTGCGGACAAGGAGGGCCTGGAGATGGGTGATGAGTACTTTGCCAATCTGGACCATATCGAGAGTGTGGAGAACTTCAAGGAAGGATATGAGAGTGATGCCCCCTGTTCGTCCGACAGCAGCGGGGTGGACTTGAAGGACCAGGAAGATGGCAACAGCGGTACAGAGGATCCCGAAGAGTCCAATGACGACAGTTCCGATGATAACTTCTGTAAAGATGAGGACTTCAGTACCAGCTCTGTGTGGCGCAGCTATGCTACCCGGAGGCAGACCCGGGGCCAAAAGGAGAATGGACTGTCTGAGACGGCTTCCAAGGACTCCCGCCCCCCAGACCTTGGGCCCCCCCATATTCCTGTCCCTCCAGCGATCCCTGGGGGTGGCTGCAATCCGCCTTCCTCTGAAGAGACACCCAAGAATAAGGTGGCCTCATGGTTGAGCTGCAATAGTGTCAGTGAAGGTGGCTTTGCTGACTCTGATAGCCGTTCATCCTTCAAGACTAGCGAAGGTGGGGAAGGCCGGGCTGGGGGAGGCAGAGGGGAGGCTGAGAAGGCCTCCACCTCAGGGCTGGGCTTCAAGGATGAGGGAGATCTCAAGCAGGCCAAGAAAGAGGTAAGTGGTGGCAGAAGACTCTCAGAGCGGGAGCTTTTGTAGAACTTTGGTAATGGAACAACTTGACATGGCACACTGATTCTTCACGTGTAGATCATTTATTGGATGTTTATTTCTGTGGCAAACCTGATTATCTTCCCCCTGCACCCAACACATTCCTGGTGCTTAAAGAACCAAATTATTATTTTTTTATTTTTATTTTTTAATGTTTATTTTTGAGAGAGATAGAGCACGAATGGGGGAGGGACAGAGAGAGAGAGGGAGACAGTTTGAAGCAGGCTCTGAGCTGTCAGCACAGAGCCTGACACGGGGCTTGAGCCCACGGACTGGGCTGTGAGGTCATGGCCTGAGCTGAAGTCGGACGCCCAACTGACT